CTTCTATGTTTTTATCTTCCAGAAATACAGACCTAGTCGTTCTTGGTTGCCTGCTGAGTATTTATTCCTGTTTTTAATGAAATGGTTTCATGTTACAGCACATAATAGGCCGGAAGTCGACTTGTCTCTGTAAACTGTATTATCCAGCGCGGTCTCAAGTCTCTGGCTGAAAAGTGGAGTTAATTCAATCTTCACTATATCGTCGATTTAGAGAAATCGATGGAATGAGTGAACATATTCGAAGAACAGTACTGTACCATTCATCTAGATAAGCCAAGATGATAGGTGGCTCCATAGCTCAGTGGTTAGAGCACTGGTCTTGTAAACCAGGGGTCGTGAGTTCGATCCTCGCTGGGGCCTTAGCATTTTTCTTAAACACTTTATTCAGTGTTGTTTTTTCAAAGTGTTCTGTCTGCAATTTAACACAACACGTTCAATATAGAAATTTAAGGTCGATGACAGCTCTGTTATCCACAAACAAGTTCAATTTCTGATTGCAAAATACTGACAACCGAAGAGATTTTTTTTCAAATAGCTTAGTTGGTGCGGGGTGAAATCAAAACATTTTGATTTATCTATATCTTGAAATCGGGTGCTGCCTCGAACGACTGCTTCGCGCGCAAAAACGATGCTTAATCAGCTAGGATCCCAAGTGAATTTTAGGTCCGAAGAACAATAAGAAGTGAGCGAGTTGTATAAAATCTGTGGTGTAAGTTGTCTTTCCACGATAGGACCAGCAGGTGGGGCTGCTGATCAAGGAATATGGTGAAAAGGGCAGTGGCAGCCGAGAAAGATTTATGTGGAACAAGAAAGAAAAAAAATCAGCCTCCTGAGCACACAGTTGGAATACTTAGCCCAGGGGTAGGCAACCTTGGCTCTTTTATGACTCGTGGACTTCAACTCCCAGAATTCCTGAGCCAGCAATGCTGGCTCAGGAATTCTGGGAGTTGAAGTCCACGAGTCATAAAAGAGCCAAGGTTGCCTACCCCTGACTTAGCCTATCATCCCCTGTTCCCATGACGCCCAGACAGGATTTGGATGTCTATTCATTAGTCAGATTTATATTCCGCCCGAATCCCTGAGTCCAATTTCTCTTACAGGCTGTTATGGAAAAAGTGAAGTATGGTGGGTCCAGAAAGCAACTGGGTCTGAAGTCACCTATCCGGTGGTTTTATATCGGAGGCTTCCTGCTCCCCATCCAGTGGGTGCTTCATCGCTACAGGTTTTTTTGGAGGAGACTGGACAAGTCAGTTGTTTGAGGTGGTGGGGGGGTCTCCTGTTTGGGTGGGGGGTTGGACTGGATGACCTCCAAGGTCCCTCCCAATTCTGTTATTCTACAATTCTGTAAGGGTCTCCTGCTTGAGCACGGGGTTGGACTAGATGACCTCCAAGGTCCCTTCTAACCCTGTTATTCTATGATTCTATGATCACGCAAGGATTGCAACAACATGGGGGACGGGGTGTTTCAGCTCAGACTGACAGACAACTGTGCTCTCTTTAGTTCTCCCGCTGCATTTCTTTTAGGGGGTTATTTGAGGTTACTACACCAACACCAACACACATACACCCCTTTCACAAATTAGCAGATAGTCTGAGCAACATTAGACTGGTTAATAAGGCTCAATACCTGAAAAGGGAATTCTCTATTAGCATATAGAGGCAATCTGCCTTCTCAAAGCAAAGTCTCCTCCGTGGATGTTGTGTTGTGATTCCCATAAATCTCAGCCAGCACAATTAGCAATGCAACCAGGATTGGGGGAGTTTTGCTATAACACATCTGGGAGGCACCAGCATGGAGAAGGTGAGAGAGATGAAATCCAGACCATAGTCCACAGGGACATTCATTTTAGAGATGGAGAAGACTTTGATGTATAAAATTTCCTCTGATTAACATCTATATTCTTGCAATAGTCTCACAGAAACCACAAACACTTACTTTCTTTTTTTTTTTGTTCAATCTGTATTTAATAGAATACAAAGAGAGAGAGAAAGAACCTTTTAAAAACTCTTGGACTGTATGCTATCGCTCATTTTAAAAATTCAATTTTTGGGGTGGCATCATTGAAATATAAAAGATTGAGTAGCATTTGGTCATTTTTATTTCTCTTGTAAAAATGCAAACATTTTAGAAGAAAAAATAGAAGATTTCATTCTTGAGATAAAACCAGCTTTCCTCATTTGCTCAGCCCTTCCTCCTTTGCCAAAAACGAGCTCTTAAACTGCAGCTCTCTGTGTTCTTAGGGATGCTTTTTCCAAGGAAGTCATCAAGGGTCTGGTTTTTCCGAAAAAGGGAGCAAATCCATTCTCACATGATACAGTTGTACTTTTGGTGGACTGTAGTAAGTGTTCACTAGAGTGCCTGTTCAAATTCACTAAGCAATTCTCAGAGAAAGATCTGTGCAGAGCAGTAAACTGGAAAACATCTGGGATGGTTACAACTCCCAGTTGTAAACATTTAAACAATTAAGCATTTAAATGTATATAACATATCTGGTGTGGTCAGTGGCTGAAAAGATGCGTAGATTCAGGTTAAAAATGTTTTGTATAAAATCTATATGCTATTCTGATTCACTTTCTTGGAAGTAAAATGAGTCACTTGGCAATCCTATCCAGATTCCCTTCT